CTGACCCCTGACCCTCCTTAAGATGGAGGGCTTATTTTTATATTTATGTCAATTAGTTTTACATTTTGTTAATTAGTTTATACTACGATAATTAGTTTACATTAGTGAACGTTTGCATCCTCGAACGGTAAAACATTCGAAAGCACTATCGATCTTCTGCGCATGCGCAGTTCATGTTTTGGATCACTTTTGTGCATTTGCGCATGCGCTGAAGATCGAGATGGCTGCCCGCTAAGGTGTGTAAGAACACTCTCGTTAATTGTTTTCTATTTTGTTAATTTTTATTTTCATTGTATTTTACGGTTGTATTTTCAGTTAAAACACGTATTTTCTACTCCCTTATAGTTACCTAAAGCTTACGTTGCGTCTTATACGTCTGAAATTTCATTACAAGCGTCAACACTTTTGTTTTCAATTTTAGTGGTCTTTCAATGAACATTTCAACCTCAGCGCCGGTGTTGGTGAATTATACACGGTGTCGATGCCAAATCGATAATACACGGTGTCGATGCCAAATGTAACACGCATTGTCATTTTTAATGATTTTTCTTTGTTTTGAGCATTTTGTACTACTCTTCACAGCGTTGTTCAATAGGAAGAAGGAAACTTGTTTCAAATATTTACATGGAAATTGTTAAATTTAAAATTTAAGAATACTTACAATTCATTTAAAACATTCCGAAGTAGCATTAAATATAAGTTACTTACTTATAATATGCATTTTCTCTCTTTTCCATATCGTGTAGCAGTCGACAACACAAATATCTATACTATTTGTATAATTCCATTAAATGAAAATACGTGCTACGTAGAATATATTCGTTGAACAAATATAAATATACTGAACTTACTCATTACACGTTCAGTGTAGAAATGGATCATTTTCAATTGTAATGTGTGCAGAGGATCTAATATTTCACATCACTGCCCAAATAGTATACCCGAGGTAATATGAGATAATTAGTGAGATAGTTAGAATTTAAGTATGAAATAATTCAATGAACGATCTGTATTTATAACTATAAATGAGTTGATTATTTAGTTTCATAATATGTCTTATATTATAAGACTATACAATTTCTTATGAGTCTTCACACAAGGTGAAACGTCCGCTTTTCAAAACAAAAGGAAACCTGACACATACCTAACGTAACTGTTGAGCGCAAAAACGATTGTACAACTCAACAGCGAGAAGGCGTTGTGCGGACACGATCCATACTGGTTACTTTACGCCTTTTTACCCGTGACGGCTACACCATTTCTGTAAAACGTCGAATAGCGGGACTTTCGTGTACACATAGAGAAACGGGATATTCAAATACGTCGGTACAGGTGGCGAGATGGTGCGTGTAAGAAGGTTGAATGAGATTAGATAGCGAGGAAAGAAAATAGGCTGCTTGCCTAAAGAGATGAAGGCGAGGACGCGGGGAGCGTAGCTCCAGTAGCGAGAACACGCCAAGAAACTTCTGAACAGGACTTCCTTGAGAGGGTACCATGTGGCTGTCACCCGAAGGACACGGCGACTTCCTGCCTAATGGGCCTCTTAAGCAGGGGTGGACAAGGTGTGCCTCAGAGTCCGTTTGCGGCGGAATAAAATTCTCTCAGAAAATTCAATCTTCCATAAACTAATGTTTTCGAGCAGAATCTTTCTTTTTTCTCTTTTTCAATATCTCGTCAAATCATATCTTCCAGTTTATTAACAAAAAATCGAAATAAAATGTAATAGTATCTAAACAAAACGAAAAAGAAGTTAGAGTAAATTCACCTCAAATAGATCGAAACAAACTGTGTTCGATAACCTCAATGCTCAAGTCTACAAATATCAAAATGTAAAATTGAAAACATTCAAAAGACCTCAGTTCGAACGGTAAGAATTGAACTTTAAAAAGAAAAATGCATATAGTCTGAATTGCCGATTCTGGAGAACTTATTTTTTGACAGGATGGTTTAAATGTTACGATTTTTCTTTGGATTAAGTTATGAAAATGAGGTTATGAACTATTGAAATGGTAGTGACAATGGGTAGAAAGTTTAGAAATCAGTAAAAAAATCTGCCGAGAGTAAACAAAATCGTTAAGGCAATGTGCCCTACCTCTCCGGGCTCCAAGAGACGCGAGGATGTAATCCGCCTCGGTCTTAAATGTTTGCTTCTGCATTGTGGCGAGGTGGGACTCTCCCAACTTCCATATATGATTTATATTTATCGTTTATAGTAGTATCCTCGATTATAAACAACAATAAAATCCTCAAGAACATCTTTTAAAATTTAATTATTTTTATTGGCATAAATTTATTAAAAACGTAACGTTTCGCGATACCACGTGGTCGCCTCATCGGGTAGTCTGGATAATAATGTTTCATCTCTCCATGTATCATCTTTCAACCCTCTACCTTCCAACTCCAAAGTAATTACCCTCCACTCTAACCGGCTAAAGTGGGCCGAAACGGGCCTGCAGTGCACGTCGGGCCTCTGTACACGTAAATAATTATGGGAATCAATGCAGAGAAGGGCCAATGGGTCGACTCCGTTGGGGTCCGACCGGAACGTTCCCTGTCTGACCTGTATGATGTGAGAAAAGGAACGATAAACGAGAAATAAAATGTTTAACAAAAACAATTTCGAATGTCTATTCTCTGCAAGCGTGAGTATGTGTGGTAAAAAGACTTTCCAACCTACCGCAAGCTCAAGTGGAATGTGGTCACATACGCGACGCTGAGTGAATAGAAACAAATAGAAATGAAAAGCGAAGATTAAAAGAAACGCATAAATAACAGATAGTGCAAAGAACAAGTTACTTTGTAAGTATGTGATGTGTCCATTTTTATTTTCCCACCTTAGAAATTTCTTCGTAAGAAGAGGAAGTTATGTAATCATGTTTTCATTAAATTTAATTGTTCAATTTCACCCCTTTCCATCTGTAAATTAGCAATGCGCCTTTTGAAGTAGTGACCAATGTGGCCATCGGCCATATGTCTATAAATAATACGTATATAAATAACACGTCTTTAAAATGAAAATATACGCTAAATCGATTTTAATTTTACAGACATACGTTTCACAGCGCGTTTGCCTCTGCACGTTCAAGACGTAAAAACTATTTTTGGTTAGAGTAAAGTGTGAAGACTAAAAACGTACTTGAAATAGCGTTCAATTACATTAAACGAACTGCTCTTTTTCAACGAGAAATCCCCGCAAACTGGAACGTGTCGCTCACCTTTCGAACTTAAAAACTTCTATTGTAAGAGGTTTTCCTGTTAAAATTAGAGGCAGATACATTGTTCAAACATATATAACTACATCCTTAATCCGAAATTGGCTAACAAATACCACAACAGTGCTGTTAAAAAACTGGGAGTGGAGATGTTAAATATACAATAATATAAGCTTTTTCAGTCTTCATCAATACTGATTTTGCTTACGATCACGGTCAACACGAAAAGGTTCTTTCCAGACCGTGTGCTTCAGGGGACATCTGCGGGAAATGTCTCCAGTGTCTGTAGGGCAAGAAGCATAACTCTTGTTCGGTGCCTGAATGATCTAGTTAGGACAATGAAAATAACTGCGGCAGATGGCGATGAAGCATCTGAAAGAACTAGTATTCCGACTGCACCAATGCCTACCAGCCTGAGCAATATCAACGTAGATGAAGGAGAGTACGTGCCGGTTTGATCGGAGGGTGCTAATTTGTAAAACGTCGATTCAAAATAATTCTGAATATATCTGAACCCCTCAAGGAAGGGGTGAAGACGGGCCATACTCCCCCTTAAAACGCTCAAAGACTATTTTATAAGAGAGTTACGTAATATAACATTTTATTTCAGTAAATATGTTTGTTAATCCCCTTAATTTTTTGACGAGACAATTTGGTAAACTTATGGTACGATAATAGGGAAAAAGGTTCTACAAGCCATTTGACAATTCTGTAAATAGTTTAATATAAAATCAATTATTCATAAAATTTATAATGATATTCTCCTTACAGCATGAGTTATTTACTATCTAGTAAAATAGATCTTATGTAAATACAAATGTTCTGAGGAAAATGGGTACTAATCTATAATTTCTCTCCCCTTCTTCTTTTATACTTTGATTTATTTACAATGTCCTTCGACAGTTCATAAGCTGTTACAATGTCATCCAAGCGGGAGCTTGAACGTCACCACAGTGCCCATAGTGACGTTTAAGCTTCCGATTGGATGACAGCTTAACAGCTGATGCTCTGTCAAAGGACACTGTAAATATACTAGGATTCGTTTAACCGTGCACTCGACGTAAATCAGCTGTTCACGGTTTCATCCAATTGGGAGCTTGAATGTCCCCATAGTAACGTCACTGTGGCGACACGAAGCTACCGATAGAATGAAACCGCAACAGCTGATGTAGGTTAAGTGCACGAATAAATAAATCGTACTATAAATCGAAGTATGGGCTGCGCACGCTTTTGATTCTGGAAGACTGTTCCGCGCGAGCGTGAGTGTGCGTGTGCGCGCGGCATCGCGACCTTCGCCCCGGGGCGTCACGCGGGCCGTTGACACATGCGCCGCGGCGCCTTTGCGGGCGCCGCCGCCGCCGCCGCCGCCGCCGCCGCCTCCGCCACCACCACCACCAC